AGAAGAGCAGGTTGTTACTGTTAAAGTGGTCCTCTGAAAAAAGAATAGAAACCTCATCATTCCCCACTTGGGTAGGATAGCATTTCTCCTCAGCATGGATACATCTTCAAATGTACTAGCTGCTAGGGGACAGTGCAAAATTATATAATTTAGACATACGAGGAAGTAAAATTAAATAGCCATGAGATGAGCATACCATTAAACAGATCTAATTTATAATGGGCTCTTATGCAAATTGCCTTTGAGCACTTAGTAAAAGAAAATGAAAAGAAATTAATAAGGACAATGTGGACTAAAAAGTCAGAGAAGAAAAAAAAAAGTGAAAGCCTATTTCAGCTCGTTCTCTGCACACCCCAGAGTGTTAAATGAGCGTTCCCATTAGCCACATAAATATAATGATGTGATCGTAAAACTTGCGTTCCCTTATCCTTTGAAGTGCCAAACCCCTACTCACTTTGCCACAGTGGCTCCGACCAGGTGAGTCAGATTTCAACTAAAATTCTTTTTCTTTGCCATGTATTTCATTATTGGAGGGAGAGAGATGTATTTCCATGAGCACTTTGCCCCTTGCCAGCCACTGAATATCCGACCTCGGTGGGGTCCCGGGCAGTTACTTGCCTCGCCGTTAGCATGGGATTGCGGGCGCCAGGCATCGCCGACCCTCCTCCCGCTGCCCGGTTATTGCAGGGGCTTCGCACCGGGAGTTTTCCTCCCTTTTTGTTGTTCTGCGAAAGACGCGGCGTGCAAGGAAAGCTGACAGCTTAGAACTGTTGAAAATAGTTTCTTACAAAAGATTTTCAGTTAGTTTTGAGTTCGTAGTGTCCTCTGGTAAAGATGATAATATGAGAAATAATGTACTGAATATATTCAATAATAAGGAATCTATGTTTTCTCAGAGGAAAAAAAAAGGTTTCTTTCTACATAAGTTTGAAGGCAATGCAATATTCTGCATGCTTGCAGACATCCAGGTTTGCAGCTCCCCCGTGTTCCCTGTATCCCTTTGGTTACAAAAGGGAAGGATGGTAGCTCTGTCCCCTAAAACAATCTGTAGAACCGTGTCATTTCTCTTAGTGTTAAGAACGTTGTGCAATAGTTAACTTGTTTAATTAATATTGGCCATCTTTTTCCTAATTTCCTAATTCCATCAGCTTTCCCAAATTGTCAACTGAGGCAGAATATACTAAAGGGAAGTCTTTCTCTTTTGTGTGTATAATAATACATATAAATATTTATACATCGAGAGAGCAAGGTTATAAACACTTGCACTATGTATACAGCTTTGCTGCAGTCCGAGTATATTTTTATACTTGACAAACAGGACTTGTTTCTGAAGAATTTGAAAAATCCTGTAAGGAACGTCATCTTCCTGTGCTAGCTTTTTGGTCTAGAAATGCTGGTAGGGGAGTGCGGGTCTGTGGGGAGAAGGATCCCTGCAGTATTTTATGGAAGTTAAACATTGATCCTCTTCCGTATCCAGTTGTTTTCTCACCACTAAAACCAGGCTTGCGGCTGGACCTGTTCTGTGCCCTTCAAGCAAAACCGCATTCTCTGACAGAAGCTGAGTTTTCCACTGGTTGTATTTTCAACCCTTGAAGCATTCGATTTCTGACAGTGGAATGTGATACTTAAAGCCATAGACATTAATTATTACCCATTGGAGGTCGCACTTTCAACCCATGGGACATTAATTTTCCTGATATACAGAAAATTCCAGCCTGTTAGTTTTAATTAAATATTTCAGAAGTACATTTTCTTGGAAATGGACTTTATCCTTTACCCTTGATATTTGGCTAATTCTGGGTATAATTATCAGCTTCTTTTGCAAGCTTCCTTCAAACCACTTTCCTGTTTGGAAATCTGTTTGGCTGTTACGTATTTGTCATTCAGAGAAAAAAAAAAAAAAAAAAAAAAAGTAGTTATCTTTGCCAGTCATTGGCCAACATTGTCAAGCAGGAGATGGGGAAAAGCATCTTTCAGGCTTTCTTGGGAAGTGAAATTATGATAAATGTGACTTAACTGTCCGTTCTCATGCCAGCGGATGGATGTCTGTTAAGCATTTATCATGGCAGTGTGAGAGCAAGCAGGAGCGGAGCGATGGGTGACAGGGAGGGGGGTGACTCTGTGCCAATATCAAATGTTGTGTAGGGGAGCTGCCGAGCGAAGCAGGGCAGGGAGCTTGGGGCTGTGCTGCCGGCGACCCGGGAGCACAGGGGGAGGCTGGAGGGTCAAGGCTTTGGTCCTTCCCCAGATCCTGACCTAGCCCAGTCTCCTCTCCTCGTGGGTGTAGCAAACGCAGCTTAGCTTAAATGCAGCTTAGAAGGACCCTGCCACCAGATTTGGGTCCCATGTTATCTCAGATCTTCCCCTGCAGGCCATGTGAAGTGAACTGAAATCTACATTTTTCCATCTGAAAAGGAAAAAGGCTTTAATTTTGTTTACAGAAGTCTCTCTGCTGGGGGTCTACCCTTCCAAAGCTGTTTTAAGCACAGTTGGGTATTGCAAAGTGATGCTGGGAAGGGAGCGGGGAAAGGAATTTCTGTTAACTCTTCCAGCCTGGACCCAAAGCCTTCCAGGTCCCAGGTAGCACTCCTGATGGCTCTGCGCTCTTGTCAGCGTTCTGGTTTTGTCAGAAGACTCTATCCTCTGCTACTATCTTGTTCTTCTCCTAAACAATTAATAAAATGAAGACAGAAAGCCTAGAGGTTTAAAATATGTAATTATAGTAGTAATTTAGAACTAGGAAAGTGCTGCAGAAACCAATTACAATTATACATTTCGGTAATGACTGACTTGGCCAAATATGTATGTTTTGTGTGTGAATTCCATGATAGATTCCAAGATGGCATGCTCGAGTATAGAGGAAAATTAATTCTAAACGCTGAGTGCATCCATATTAGACATAAATGTTGCTCATCCACCTAATGAACTTGTATTATATGGCTTGTCACAGCTTAGATTTTGAGTAGCAGGGCAGGCAGTAACAAGTATCCAAGGAAGAAAGCTTGAATTATTCTAAGGGGTGGGTTTGAGAATAAAATATTTTGTACCTGATCGTTCTGCAAAATATACTTAATTCCTTACATGTTATGGGTTTCATGCGACTTGAATTGATTCAGGCATTTCCTACAGAATTGGAAATGGCTAGTTGAGGTTAATGTGGTTTTATTTCTTTCCTGGGCTTCATCTCTTCCCAGCTGGTGAGAAAGAATAGACGAGACTTGTATTCTGTTCACGTCATATTAGCGGCTGTACTAGCGAGGTCCCTGCTGCGGGCGCAGACATCCCTTCAAACCCCGTTTGGGTTGGCCGTGCCTCTGCAAAGGGGGGGTGTATGGCAGTGGGTGCGACGCGGCGTGGGGTCACCTGGAGCCCCGTCCCTTGGCAGTTCCCTGAGACCCCTCTGCAAGCTCTGCCGTCTTCCCCTCTTTGGGAACCGCTTCTGTCTTTTGCCTCTGACCTTTTCCTGGAGATCCCCTTCTGCTGGCTGATGGATGGGGTGTCTCTCAGCCTGGGGTGCTTCATGCAGCCAGGAGGGCTGATCACCTCTGAGGTTTTGGTGTTGGGTTTTTTTTTTTTCTACTGGTGATGGGGAATGGTTGTTTCTTCACTTCTTTTAAAACAAAAATAGCGTGCCATGACTTTGGGCTTGCTCTAGCCTTTTGGTGAGAAGACAGACTTGTACCTTACCTACTCCACAAACAGAGCATGATCAGGGAATCAAAGTGTCTGTTGGTCCCCTCGCTCCATGCCGATGTCCAGTGATGCTATTGTATGCTCTTCAGTAACCTGCGGAGCTTGTACTGTGCTAGTTCCCAAAACAGATTGGTTATTTTGGGACACAAACTACATATGAATGAGCCCTTTTGTTAAAACAATGAAAACACGGAATCTGCAGAATATTACAGAATGTAACAGGTTGTGACAAGGCTCTGAAATCACGTCCCAAATTGTGGGTAGTATTTCACACAGAGCATCCATGTGACATATCACAAGCGAGCTATTTTGAGACCATTTTGTTTACAATTCTGGTGTTGGAAAGAATCAAAAAGTACTTCCACATTGCACATACAGAGGTATAAACAGGCACACAAAAATCAAACCGACCAGTCGCTCCTGCTGATTTCACTGGGAAACCACTGGTGACTCAGGAGCCTTTTGCAAACGCCCCCATGCAGAAACACAAGGTGTATTTCATGTTCCTCTGGTGGGGTTTTTCTTCAGGGTTTTCAGCCCTTCGTGCTGCTCTAACAAAAGCAGGTTTGTGGGGCACCCATCTAGAAAACGTGTGTGTGCTCGACGGTTGATGTCGCAAGGACTGTCGGCAGATGGAGGCTCTCTGGGTGGTTCTGGTGGTCGGTGGGGTGGTCTCTGTCAAAACTGAGGGGTTTTTTTCCTGATTATTTTAGTGTGTACTAGTTGATACCTGCCACAAACAGTTAATTTTTACTGTGAAATCGTTACCTTACATTGACATGTTATAACCTTTGTATCCCCAGCTTCTTATTCCCACAATGTGCTGCCCCCTCAGCTGTCCCTGTCCAAGTGTTGGTTGCAGTAAATGGCATCCAAGAAATGAACTGGGTTTAAGAGCAAACAACCAAAAAAAAAGACATTTCCCAAGTGCAATTTCCAAACTAAATCAGGTTCACCGTGCAGTCCCCTGGAAAGGAGGATGGAGTCAATCAAGGGGGTTGGTGCATCTGGGGACATGGGTTCTGCTGATGGGGGCTATCAAGAGAGGTGTCCAAAATAATCAAGAGGGTGTCATTTCGTGAGACACGGATTTGGGCAGCGAGGCTGGTACAAGAGGCTCCGGCCCCGGCTGCTTCCCCTCCACCTCCCCAGCTGTGCTACTTAGAAGTTTCTAAGGCCACGCTGGAAAAACTGCAGCTTAAATCGTAGTTTGAAACCAGCCTTTTTCTTAGGAAGAGGAGCTGTTTGGGCGGCTGCTGAGCCGAGCTTGGTCTGACCCTGCTGCTCGCCTCTTGTTTCCTCTCCAGAATCGGCCGGCTTTTCGATGGCACGGAGCCCATCGTCCTCGACAGTCTCAAGCAGCATTATTTCATCGACAGAGATGGGCAGATGTTCAGATATATCTTGAATTTTTTAAGGACATCGAAACTCCTCATTCCTGATGATTTCAAGGTGAGATTTCAAGGGACTCGGGTGTTTTGCATGGACCTTTGTAAAGGAAGTATCTGGCGTGTAGTCAAAACAGAGCCCTAGATGGGGGGGCACTTGTAGGGTATGGTATTTGATTTCAGGTACGTGGCAAAAGTAAGCGTGTGGTTGCTAAAGTGGCATCTGTCAGCCTTTCCTGGAGTGGCATCAATATTAAATTTTCCCCTCCTGGCTATAGCATAATGGAGCAACCTTGCCATGTTTGATCTAGGGAAATTAAATATCGTAGGATCCTGATGGAGGCAGAAAGGATGTTACAATCTGGAACCGACTGCTCGTGAGCTTTGCTGATTACTTGTCCTCTCATCCGCTTTTATGCTTCCCCTCTGATTGCAGCAGTTCCAGCTTCTACTCCCACGCTGAAATTCAGAGAATGAGGTGGGAATCACAGTATTGACAAAATAAACTGCACACATGGTGATATTTGAGCATTAAGTCATAGATGATTTTCTCCCCCAGACTCTTGCATGCGGACTACAAGTTTAACTTGGGAGTTTTGGAGAAGTCAGGGATGAATAGTTCCACATTTATTATTTAACCTTTATTAAAGAGCCAGCTTTTTTTTCTTTTTAATAACAAATTAAATTTGTGGTAGTTCACCACGTTAGACGTTAGCCTACAGAGGCAAAGCTTCAGACTCGGCGTGCTGCGCTCTGTTTATCTGCTCGTAGGTGTGTGGGTGTCTGTGGTGTCAGCGAAGTGAGCGCTGGAGACGGCGGTTGCAATCAGAACAGATCTTTATCGTTACTTAATGAATGCGTATCAGCGGAGCTGGCTGTGCCATTAGTTCAGCAATTCAGATTGAACAGGAGAGGTGATGGGAAAGGGTTAGAGCAGTTCATACTGGTGTGCAGTCTTTTTATCCCTTGTATCTGAGACGGGTTTTCAGGTGTTTGGGGCATAATAGGTGTGCGGTTCAGTTCAAGAGCCGTATTGCAGCAACCTTTGAATCATCTGCTGTAGACGCATACTTGCTTCTCCCGTGCGTGACGAGGGTAGATCTACCTGAATACCGTGGGAGTTTGCAACTAGCCGATAAGCATCATATCCTTCTTTTGAAGCCTTAGCGTGGCTTTGTGCGGCTCTCGGCACTTGTCCTGAAGGTAATCAGAAATGCACAAAAAGGAAAAGCCACCTTCCGTGCGATATTAAGAAATTATATATGCACAGCCTTTTAAACACAGAACTATACTGTAGCTGTGCTGAAATTAAAAGCGTAACTCCTGGCAAGTGCACCCATGCAAGCTGATGTTCAAAAGGGTGTCCTTCCCAGTTATGCTTTAAGGTGTCCGAAAGATCGGTGCTGAAAATGAACAGCAGTCCTTGTTTTTCAGAAATACATAGATTAGGTGACTTTTTTGTTACACGGTAAATGTAAGCAGTATTCTGAACATGATTTAGCTGTCCCATTCTCATCAAGTATTTGGTTTCTATTTGGTTTCTATATTCAGATTCAGGGCCATACTGACTGTTAGCAGTCTTCTCTTGTTGTCATTCTATTCCTCTGTCTTCCCTAATTCTCATGTATTGCTTTTCTCTGTACAAATATTTTCCAAACAGTATTATGCTCTTAAACCTAGAAAAACAAGAATTTATTTTTTTTTTTAAATTTAAAAAATGGCAGTAGACAGACTCCAGATCATCAGTTGTAAATTACTTCTGTACTGGCTACGCTTAGAAATGCGTTCTCTCTGCTCTGGCGTTTGAGACAATGTAGTAAACAATACTGTTGGCAAAATGGGGAGGTATTAAAAAATACTTAATTTTTAAAATGCAGTAATATGTGCACTCCATTATGCAAATATCCGAATCATTTTACACTAAGAACCATTGCAGGCTCCCTCATTTACATTCTTATACCTGTTACAATGCCTGCTAGTATTGCTGTAAGACGCGATGGATCCTAGTGATGAATTTTCAGAATCCTGATTGAATTCTGTTCCATCTGTTCAATGAGGTCATTATTCTATGACATCACTATGGGGATAAAATATGGGGAAAAGTGGGATTTTTGCCTGGATGGTTCCATAGCAGGAGGGAGTTGAACAAGCATAGCCTCCCCCTCCCCTCACGAGTGCTGCTAAACCCAGTCTGTTCAAGTGGCTGGTGGTTATTTTTTGCTTGCACTGTTATTTTATTACACCTTCCTACACAGTAATTACGAACTATGTCTGAAGGGTTCCAGATCTAGAGCGGCATTAGCCTGAATAACCATATGCATTAAGCGGTACATTAGCAATGCCTCTTTCTTAATTGTGCACAGTAATATATGTGTCTTTCAGGACTACAGTTTGTTATATGAAGAAGCAAAGTATTTCCAGCTTCAGCCTATGCTAGGAGAGATGGAAAGGTGGAAACAGGACCGGGAGAGTGGCCGTTTCTCAAAGTCTTGTGAGTGCCTGGTGGTACGAGTTGCCCCAGATCTTGGAGAGAGGATTACGCTGAGTGGCGATAAGTCATTGATAGAAGAAGTGTTTCCAGAAATCGGTGACGTGATGTGCAATTCTGTCAACGCCGGCTGGAATCACGACTCGACGCACGTCATCCGATTTCCGCTGAACGGATACTGTCACCTCAACTCAGTTCAGGTAGGAGGTCACATATGCATTTTTTTGGAAGGGAGCCTGCTGGCCAGGTACCAACAGGTTGACCCTCTTCTTCCCTGTCGTTGGACCGTTCTGGTGAACAAGATCAGCAGGAGGCTTTGAGCTAGTTATTTACTTCTGTGGGTCAGGGCTGCTTTCTCGACTTAATTCACACACATCATCACCAAATCTCTTTGCAAGCAAACTACAGTAGTGTTAATAAACCTACTCTAGGAGATACATGTTTGCCTCAATATAAAGGTACTGCATATTTGGAGAAACGTTTTTTTGACATTTGAATATAGGGCGACCGGTCAAGCCTGCTTCCAGTCCCTTGCCCTTCTTGTTATAAATTGTTTTCTGGCTTGATGAGAGGGCGCAGGGACATCTCAAGGCAGGGTGGGAAGATGCCACATCCCCACAGAGGCTGTTGTGAGGGCATCGGGAGCTGTCCCTTCACCTGAGAAAGGCAGTGGAGATGCTCTGATTTGCCAGAGTCCACAGGAGCTCTGAAACTAAATAGGAAGAATGGAGGAGCGAAAGGTGAAGCCCCACTCTCTTTTTTTGGGTGTAACGAGTGAGAAGTGAGGGGAAAGGGGAATTAATGTGAGAAATTGGATGTATGGTTGGACTTGATGATCTTTGAGGTCTCTTCCAACCAGAATGATTCTATGAAAGAGATTACGGGACAGTACCATAGGCCGGCTACTGAAAGGAGGGCCATGCTTCCACAGAGGGAGAACAAAGGCAGCATCCTCCTCCTTCCTCCTCCTCCCTCCTGAAATGGGACCCAGTATTTCTGGAGAAGGGAGCAGCCTGCAGCCACAGGAGAAGGCTTCTGTTGAGTCTTACCCTCGGACTTCTTTTTCCTTTGTGTTTTGGTGTTGTTTTTTTTCTGTTTTTCTTTTTGCCATTGTATTTCCCACTGGAAGTGACGCTAAGGTTGTGAAAAGAGAGGAAAGAAGGTGAATAGGCAGAACTCATTAGTCCCATCGTTAAAGTTAAAAGGTCCCAGGTCTTACCACAGGTAACTGTAGCCACAAACCTTCATCGTCACAGTTGGTTTTTAAGTCTTTAGAAAATACGATGGTAACTTTTCTGAAATTATGACTGCAATATCTGCGTTGTCACCATTTGGTTGAGGTGTTTGCTTAGCATCCTCCAGTATCTGCTGTGCAATCTTGTATTTGCCCTTTTGTATTGTAAATTTTATGAAGCAGAGAATTTGTTTTCCAAGCATATTTCTGTGGCTAGAAGAATACTGGATTTGTTGACAGTACTAAAAAATGCAAATACCTTTTTCTTCATTTTTCTTTTTATTGCGCGGTGGCCAAAGTCAGCAGAAATCAGTCCAATACAACGAAACTGAGGGAGCCAGTTAGCGGATCTGTGTAACCACTTTTGTTTCCTAGCTGGATCCATCTGAAAACAGCAGTTACTGTCCTCAGACAGCAAATGGTCTATTTATTTACTTATATATCGCTGTTTGTTTCCCCTTTTTTGCAGGTACTTGAGAGGTTACAGCAAAGAGGGTTTGAGATTGTTGGCTCATGTGGAGGTGGGGTGGACTCTTCCCAATTCAGTGAATACGTACTGAGACGAGAACTCAGAAGGACATCTCGTGCACCCTCCGTCATTCGAATAAAGCAAGAACCTCTGGACTAAAATGGACACGTTTCTTTATGCAAAAAAAAAAAAAAAAAAGGAAAAGAAAGGGGAGGGGGGCAAAAGGGGGACGTTTCATGTGCAGTTTGGACTCCAAACAAGTCCTGGAACTAAAATTGAATAAAAGACACATTTATATCAAATATAGAGACCACACCTGAATTCATACGGGAACATTTGGAATAGTAGTAATAATAATAATAACCTCAAGGTGTAAAAGAGAACACACACACACATATATATATAAAATATGTATGTATATGTATGTATGTACATATATATATGTATGTATATGTCAAAGGGTAGGAAATGCAACAACAAAAAAAGTGGTAGATGAGGTTGGTGCTGTGATGACCATTAAGTGTCCTAGGCCTTCCTGGGACCCACTTAATGGTGTAGAAGCCATTACCATTGGGGGATACATAGACTGTTCTTCACCCATTTTCCATTGCCAAACAGCCATCCACTTTTTAATGCGTGCACACCCTGACTCAACTTTATTTGCATAGGGAGGTTTATGTCTGTCTTTTTTAGAGGTGGATGGGCAGGTGTTCAGGAAGCGACCATCCATTGCGTTGGAAAGCTAGTCGACTGAAATGTTAAATGTAGTCTGTACAGAAGTCGCACACTTTTTGTCTGCCCTCACAGATGTGAAAGGTTAACTTTTCTTTTGAATGAGGGGGTTTTTTTTGTTGTTTTTGTTTTGTTTTGTGTTTTTTTTCCAAAGGGGGCCAGAATAATTAATATTTGGTAGAGATGCTCTGGTTTGAATCTGCTGCTTTCCTACAATTTTTTCAAATTTTATAATGTATTAAATACAATAAACTCTGTTTAAAATAACGAGGGTCTGATTTAAGCCAACAGAAGCAGAGAGGTGGGATTTAGCTGGCCAGACTCCCATGTGTGGAGTGGCGGCCGCTCCGGCAGGCAGCGAGTGGGCAGCGCTGCCCACGCAGGGTGGAGGGAGTTAAAGGCAGCGGAGGCCGTTGTGGGATCTGTCTGGTTTGCTGGTCTCCCTTCGGCACAGTCCTTTTGAAGCTTTGTCTCCCAGTTGGAAGAGAGGCTGTTGGTCAGACTTCCAAAATAACACCAGCTCAACCCAGGGAAACCCGTCAAAAAACGACGCCTGGTTCTGCAACCTTCCACGTAACAGTGAATAGTTGCATCCTTCCCTCTTGACTAAGGAGTTGGCAGCTTCAACTCTCCGAGCCCTTGCCCTGCCGAGTGTTAGTCAACCTGTTTGGTTTTAATGCTGTTCATTTCCCTCGTTTAAAGCTAGTGTTCTTCTGCCTAGAGAGTTGAGATGCTCAGCCCCTCGTGTTACGCCGTCGGCTGCGTTGCTCTTGATAGCAGGCGGTAAGTCGATGTCCTGCGTTCAACGTCCTGCGAGTTGTTCTCTTGCAGGGTCTCACCGAGGGCACCTCTGCAGCCGCCTGGTTCAGGACGGTGAGATTTTGCAAAGGTGCCACATCACGATACCGCTGCACGGACCGTTCACGGGTTGATGCTTTCACCACCTAAGATGCACCAGCAACCGCCACTTTTCCTCCAAAGTGTCTTTTTATGCAATATTCCAGAATATGACTGTGTATTCATCCTAGTATGGAAGTTTCTATTGATGCAATGGTGCTGGCATTCCATTCATTTTGGTGATACTTTGCTATTTATTTAAGAAAAGAAAAAAAAGAAATTGTTAAATACATGTAACAAGATTTTTAATATAGTCCACTAACTCAAAAAACAAAAGCTACCATTTTTCTGTTTTTTATTAAAAGATGTCAGAGGGCATACTTAAATAACTCTTTGGCAGTACATATCAATGGATTTGAAATTATTGAAATGTGGAAATGGGTGGGGGAGGGGGCTCCTAAAACTAAGGTTCATTAGCGGGTTATTAGATCTTCAATGTGATGCTGATCTGTCTATTCACAGTGCTGAAACAGCTGCCTCATTGAAAATGTTTGTTTTCAATTAGCAGCAAGTAGTCCTCTTACAAAATAAACAAGTGCTTGCTCTTACTGCCCACAATTTGGTTGCTAGTTTGCGTAGAAGTCGGAAAGCTAAAACCTTGGGAAATAAATATTTTTAACAGATCTTCAAACTGTTGGAAGTGGTATGAAATTTGTGATGTCGAAAAAGGTGCCAGTCCGCAGGGGCTGAGAGTGCAGGGGTACCAGCGCAAGGTGATGTGATGTTTTGGAGACTGTTTGCTGCAAAAACCCTCCCTGCGCTTCCAGGTGGACCCTCGCTTTCTGGGGCCTCCGCAGCATGTCCGGAGTTAGGTTTACACTGTCTGTTAAGCCCAAAGGTACTCTCGCATCCAGACCTGCCCTGCTAGCCACTGTTTTTTAAGTATGGGCATATGCTCCGTTGCAGGCTGAAGCCAGGGGGATTGCAGCTCCTTTCCCTGCTGCTTGGCAAGCGGGTACCCAAACCTACCTGGCCAGGAGCATCAGTGGCCCCTAAATGGGTTGCCCGGTGCTGGCAGCACCCACGCTGCCCACAGGCTTTGCACAGGCTGGGTGTGGAGAGCAAGGAGCTTTGCCATCAATGCTTTTCATTGCCTTGCTCCAAAAGCCAGCAGGTTGTGCTCAGTCGGTGGTTTTGCTTGCTCAACGTGTACCTGACCGACTGAATGACACCGAGGATACCTCTGTGCTTCTCCCAAATCCCCAACTGGCCGGTCACCCTCCCACCGAGCCTGCGTTCATTGTTGATGGAGCCAAAAATCACTCCAAGACCCTGAATGTAAATGTCTCTGCAATTACGATATGGTCATGGAGTAAGAGGTCGTGAGTAAACAAAGCGATGGCTGATAAAAAATGTATGCAGGAATAAGGTAGTTGTAGATTTTTAGAGAGCAAATGCAATTAGTCCTGTTTGCAATTGAGGCCTGTAACCATGTGTTTTTACAATGTTCTTTAGAAAAACTGATCTACAGACGAATGAGCAATATATCTAGGAAAGGGGGAGTGGGGGGAACCAAGAAGGACCAGATTACGGTCAGCTCGTTTCTGGAGGTTAGTAATTTTGACATGTACAATAGTTTACGTTTATCTAATTTTTTTATTAAAAAGTGTGACTCCCATTTTATGCTATCAGTGGTGCCGTATTTAATAACAAGAGGAAGAGCTGCAGTGAACAGTAGCCGCCAACATTGTACTTCAGCACCTTGGTTAAGCAGCTGCCCGGCGAGCTGCTGTGGACATGTCGAGATTGCAGATGCCACCTCACACCCCTTCCCACAATGAGACATTGAGGAACTGGGTCTTCACCTTTTCTTTCGATAACGTGAACACTGGATTTCTGCAATAGCCATCGACCCAGGGTTTAGTTCTTCCCCTCTTGCTTCCTTAATGTACCAAACAGCGACGTAAGGTAAGTATGGATCCTGGCACGCTTGGGTGAACTTTACACTGTGAGTGTTCCGCTGAAAACTGAGTTCGTAAGGTAAGTATGGATCCTGGCACGCTTGGATGAACTTTACACTGTGAGTGTTCCGTTGAAAACTGAGTTCATTTACACTGCGCCACAGAAAGTGAAGTCCCCCTTAGTCGCTAGTTTAATCTCTCTTTCTAGAAGCACTGCTTACAAACAGGTACTGCTAATTTATTCTGTCTCCAGGTACTTATTCGCTGGGTAGTCTGGCCCAGCGAATGTGTCTAGAAGCAAGCTGATCATTTCTGTGCTCGACTGGCACAAGCAGGTATAGTTGAGGCATATATTTTTGGGTGCCTGATAGAATCCGTAACGAAATCCAAAGGTGACAACCTACTACTCTCTGAAAACATGAAAGTTGAGCCACCCATTCAATTATTTTTCTTTACGTGAAACAGGCACTGCTTTCAATTTGAAGAGGAACATTTTGTTCGTGAGCATAATTTTTTTGCAGCAACCTTTAAAAATTGATTGCTATACTAATTACAGGGTTTTTACTGTCACCCAAGTGACTTGTCAAGTGCATTTTTCTTTAATGTTCACATTTTGGGGGATTTGAGGGAGGAAGGGTTTGATTTTGAGGGGTGAGAAAATAATCTTTATTGACCAATGGTCAATTTTTCAGAGAAATAAAAACATTTATTTCCATCTGTCATTTCTTGACTGCGGAATTCTGTATTATGAATTATTTCTAGGGACAACTGGTATTTGTATGTTGGCATTCATGCTGCCTGAGGTTTATTTACAGTGGAAATGAAACCAAGACATCCTTAGGGTCTGTAGACCAGTTGCTTTTTCTCAGACTTCAGTTTCAGTGGTTTATTATTTCTTGAGGGTCTGGAGGGATCGCCACCACCAAAAATCACTACGTTGAATCAGGTCCCTGTGTTGGTTTTGGCTGCTACCTCATTGATCTGGTTATTGAAGACCCCAAAACTGACTTAGCATTTAGGATGCTCTATTTTAGAAACTGCTGAGATCATATCCCTACTCCTCTTCCGAAAAAAAAGATGCAGGCACGTAACACAAAAGTTCAACCCCTTGTAAGCTGAGCTAGCTCTGCTAGCTGGTAACCAGGATGCTAACATCGATGCTGGGGGAAACCCTAGTGCCAACCTGCTGAAGCATCTTCTGTTGGTGAAAGGATGAGCTCCAGAAATGGAGGTGTCCTCTGGCAGAAGGGGAGAAGCCCACTTTGCCTTGAATCTGTGATTTTTATTTTTTTTTTTCACATTTGATGACTAGGGGCTTAATACATTATTGAGTCCTGTGCCCCTAAAATAATGAAGAGTGTATTATTTTTTAACTGATGTCAGATAGTATGGGCCAGATCCCATCTTCTGCCCTCCATATTCATGGAGAACTTGCCCCACACTCAAGTTATGAGCTGAATTACAGATTAGAGTCATTTAGGGATTACAAGAGGCATGGCATGGTGATCAGCTGTCGGTACTGTTGCATTGCCAGCAATAGTATGTCATCTCTGTTGCATGTTACTTCTAAAAAATCCAGTATTTTCCACTGCAGGCCAGAAGAGGCGTGGTTCGATCAAACTCTTCTCTCTCAACCCCATTGAAACTGGATGTCCATGAGCTCTTCTC